AAGCCCTTCGATACTTCTTCACTAGTATTCGATTGTAATTCATGGGAACCCACACAAGCAGTTGATTATCTCTCTTGATAATTAACGAAGCAATCTTTGCCCGGGATTTAACTGTCTTTATGTCGAAATTTTATTTTCAACATCACAGATCCAAATTTTTTTATTGCTTCTTATCTCATTTCATTGGCACACTGCACTCACGAAATCCTTGAGGTTCTGAGTACTACCAACTCAGGCTGAAGATTTCAAAAGTCTGCATATAACTTCGCTTCTAAACCTAAAAGCGAAAGAGCCCAACCTCTATGCCGAAGGTTTTTGGTCTTATCTACTTGGTACTCACGAAACGTCTGATGTGACCGTTTGGCAACATGGTGCGAGTTTCAAGGCTACTTTATCTGACATGGCGTTAATAACGGCTAGTGGTGCAAGTTTCAAGGAGTGACGTGGGTAGTGATTTGACTAAATCGTTTGGTATTCTCATAAGGATACATATAAAAGGAAATTGGTTTATCATTAACACTTTACGTGTTCCAAATTCTCTCAGACTATTTAAGTCCTAATTTCTCTCTGTTCTTTCATGCTTCAAAACCCTAATCAATGGCTGCTGCTCAAACTAATACCTCCGACGATGCTTCATCTCAGCCAATCATGAAGCTTCAGAGTACTAATTACCAAGTTGAAGATGATGTTTCAGTATATCCGGATGAACTCAAGATGTTAATTGTCGCTCTCAAACACTCAGGCTTGTCAACGGCGATGTTCAACTATTTTGATGTTCCACTGCAACTTATAGCAAGGCCATGGATATCGTTACCTTCAATCTGGTAAATGACAAGAAGATTCGTCTCACAAAGAAATTGTTCACTCAAATTATTGAAATCCCTAATTCTCCGTCATTCTACAAGGTTACGAATGCTCAGGTCATCCATATGTTCAATGAGATGGGTCATCAACCACCTCTTACCAAGATCAGTGATTTAAAGAAATCATGTCTGCCTTATATCTGGAACTTTCTCTTTGGCATTTACCTTCGATGCTTAACTGGTCGAAGTGTAGGTCTTGAAAAGGGTCGTTTGGAAGTATATGCTATGGTGGCTGGAATATACTATGATCTGAATGTGGATTATGCTTCGCAGATGTGGAAGGAGTTTCTTAAAAGCGTAGAAAACACGAATGTGATACAAGGGATATCGTGTGCTCGGTATTGGAGTCTGATCATACGTTATGCTTATGAGAAGGAAGGAATTCAAGTTCCAGTTGATAAACCCAAAGCTGAATTCTTGAAGTATCATTTTCCAAAGACAGTTGAAGATGATGCAGAGGTATTTCCAAACATTGCAAGAATTTCAGATGCTATGCTCAAAAAGATAGATTCGTCGAATCCTATTTTGGTGGAGTATTTGCAGAAGATTAATCCTTCAGTGGAAACAGGAGTCCTTTTATCTAGAAGTGATGAGGGGTCTTCCAAGAAAACTAAGAAGTCAAAGAAGGAAACTGGAGATATTCCTTCGAAATAAAGTCCTAAGAAGATCCTGGCTAAATCACCAAAGAAGCGTGTTGTTGATAAAGAAAAAGTTTCGAAGAAAGTGGTTAAGCAAATTGAAGTGAATAAAACTGGTTCTTCGAAGGACTTAATACCTTCGAAATTAGGGGTGTTTAAAAGACTGAGGAAGTTGTCACACAAGTCCAAAGTATCTTCTGATGATCAATATCCTTTAGTACGTAAAGCGTAATTGAATAGGAAGGGAGTTCTATTTCGAGAAATCCCAGCACCAGTTTCTCCATCTTCAAAGAAAAGAAGAGCTGAAGATGTTGCAAAACATATACCTGATAAAAGAAAGAAGAGAAAGTTGATCATTCACGAAGCGTCATCAGACAGTGAGATTGTCCCAGAAACACCTTTGGGATCGACATCACCAATCAACACATCTACTCCTACAACAGTTCCACCCGAAGTTGTGGTAACTAAGTCATTTACTGAGGAGGTTCCAACTACAGGCATTCTTGTAAACGTATCTGATACGGGTGCAAATGTCAACATGGGTGATGGTGTCACGAAGTCAGCTACTTCTCAAAGTATAATCACTTCATCTACTGTCGAAACTACTTCTGTAATTAACACTTCACTTCTACCACTTATTTCGAAAGCTCTCATCACCACAACTTCACCCACTTTCAAAACCGTTTTACAACAACCCTTCACTACCTTGTTCACATCACAATCCACTGATCCACCAAAGCCTAATTCTGATGATGAAACTGATGGAGGAGGTTTCGGAGGAACATTTGCAGACTTAGAATTTGATTCTGAGGAAGAAAACATTCCAGATCATATGCTAATGGCTGGCAAACAGTTCAAGATACTTAATCGAAAGCTCAACTCTATTCTTCAATCCCAAGTTGACTCAGGGGCAAAACATTCAGTTTCGGGTATAGAGGTAGATGTAATGCTCAAGGAACAGGAGTTACGTCTTCAAAATAAGATGGATGTCCTAGATAAAAACAATGAGCTCATAGTCAAGGCTCAAGCTGACTCATTCAGTGGTGCACTCAAAGAGCTTAGGATGGTAGCAAAAGAACGTCATGTTCTATTTGTTCAGGATGTCAAGACTGTGCGAGAGGATGTGAATCGCAAGCTTGAGGAAATGAAGGTTGATGTTTCGAAAGAAATCAACGATTTGAGTACTAATTACTCTTCTCTTCATTCAAAAGTTGATATCATTGCTGGGGATGTTACGAAAGTTGTGGAATACTATCAGTCCTTAATATCTAAGAATGAAGCAAAGGCGAGTGAAGTTGTTCTGGATTTCGAAAAGATAGGTGTTTTACTTGGAGAATTGAAGGAAATTGTGTCAAAGTCTACTACAACTTCTGCTTTAACTCCTGAGTTTTTAACTCAGAAATTTGATTCCCTTGAAGCAGCTCTAACGAAAGCAGTGGCTCCTCTATCCAAATTTGCAAATCTCTTACCAACTGGTGCCCCACCTGTTGTCACAGGGGTGCAAGGGGGAGAAACATAGTTAGTTGGTAAGGAAATGAAAGTAAGTAAAGGAGGAGAAGAGAAAGCAAAAACAGTTGGCAAGGTGATTTTAACTCAAATCTCAATTCCCATTGTTTCGAAAGTTACTACCGTGATGGCAACAAAAACAACGACAAGACCTATTCAGAAGGGGATTATTATCGGTTCGGAAGGTGTTGGAGTGAGTTCAAGTTCATCGAAACCAAAAACAACTGAAGCTGATAAAGGAAAGGGAAAGGTAATTGTTGTTGAAAAATCAAAAGATGAGAAGAAGACATAAATTGCAGCAGAAATGGAAAAGCAAAGACAAATACAAAGTATTCTGAGGCTTCACGAAATTGATCCACCAACAATAGATAAAGGCGATCCAAAGAAACTTTACAGCTATGAAAATATTGAAGTCAGAGTGTCATACAACCACATGTATGCATTCGAAAAGTAGCCGAGAAGAAGCTATTCTATCGAAAATACTGATATGAATCAGCTTGATTTTCCGATAAATGAAATGATGTTCATCACAGCACAATACAAAATTATTGAGAAGTTTCAGAATGAAGATGATTTTCTCCATATGAAATTAAGGTTTCATGTTGTGGTTGGAAAAGATCAGGAGGAGGTATGGTCCCTTATCAAGATAGTCTGAGTGATAAGCGTGACAAAAGATGTTATGTTCGAAAACATGATCCAAAATTTTCGGTATCATGTGGTAAGGGCGAACAACGTGATATGTGATTTTTCTGTTGCTGATTTTCCATTGATGAACTTGAATGATCTTATTCAAGTTGCGGATGCTTCGAAACTTCAAGGAACAAGCAAGGAAATTTTGAGACTTGGGCTTGGTCACATCAAAATTTTCATAGACAATTACTATGATTGTCTAGCCTTGACCGATATAGAGTTATCTGCTGTATTGAGAAAAGAAGTAAAAGTGAATATGGAAGTTGTGAAGTCTCAAGCTGAACTTAAGAAGTTTGCTGATGGAGAAATATGTTTGAAGCCAATGGGGTTAGTCTTTTCTGGAAAAGACACGAAGGGAAAAGCAAAGAGATTTTTATTTTAAGCTTCAGAAGTCGAAAGATATACTACAGCTCAGTATACGAACTTTATTGTTCGTATGAACAACTATAAAAAGAACAACGAATGAGATAAAGCTGAATTGAAGAAGGTGATGAGCTGGTATACCGAAATTCGAAGGATGATGCATTTTGCTGCTCAAATTCTCACAAATTTAAAGTTCGACACTTATTACAAAGGGGGAGAATGTTGAGTCAAATTGGTTGTAATGTGTCGAAGTTTGTTGAGTCAGTTTCGAATGTTATGTAATATATTTACTAAGGCATTTTAGTAATGAAATCTAAATGTCGAGTCCTTAGTATTTTTTTTGTACTTTCAGTTTTCCTATAAATAGGAGATGTACTCTGAGATAGAGAGAACTTTGGCTGTAATTCTGTCTAACACTCTCGTTGTATGTTGAAAGTATAAATGAGCTGAAACAAGATCTTATTTACTCTGGTGTTCCGATTACGTTCTTTTACTCTGATTTCTTTCATACACTCGATTAATCTCTTCTACAAAAATAAAGGATTTAATTATCCCTAAAAATTCGAAAATTTCATTTTTTAATATAGGTTAATTGACTAAAATGTCCTTATGCTGAAATTTGTGTGATTATATGGTACATGTTACTCTATTGTAATATCATAGACCCTCAGATCATGATCTTTGATTCTATTTCATCCGGTGGTCCAGATCTATGCATTCTGACACATAATAGTTAGTAAAAACAAAATAACTTTTATATATATATATATATATATATATATATATATATATATATATATATGTTTTAGCACAAGGTTAATTGTAGGGTTATGCAATAGTAAAAAGAAACCAGGTTTGACGGGATTAAGATGGGTACCGGTTTTATAATAATAATTATATTTTGATTGTAGTATTGTATAATAATTTGATAGAATATATACATTTAACCTTGCTTTTTATAACCTTATAGAAACATCCCAAGTTGATTCATACATTTAACTTACAATGCTTCATGGAAGACAGTGAATTATGAAACAACATTTCACATCTCAAAACCCTAATCTTTCCCAAAAAAGTTTCCAAATTTCCTTCTTTGCAATCTTCCCAACAACATTTTTGATCCTATTATATCCATTTCCGTAAGTTTTTTCAAATATCCGATTGCGCCATACGATATCATAAGCCTTCGACACTTCTTGCTGGTCGATAACACCCCAAGGCAACAAACCGCATACTTTTTAGCCGTGTTTTGCGGGCTCGGATCAAGCAATTGAACCAAACCCGGTACACTTCGCGGGTCCCGCTTCACTTCGCGAACATTCCGAGGAACTGTCATTAGGGTTGCGATCGCCTGCGCCGCCACTTCACGAACCTCGTTCGGTTTCGCCTCAAGTAATTTGATTAGCAAAGGGATGCATCCGCTCTCGCCCACGACTTTTTTCACTTCCGGCGAATGGGAAACCCTAATTAGGGTTCCGACCGCCGCTTTCTGAGCTCCGGTCGAGCTAGAATCAAGTACGTGGACAAGTCTCGGAAGCAATCCAAGAGAAATTAGGGTTTCAGCCGAAACAGACCCCACGAGGTTACGAATTGCCCCGATTGCCGCTTCTTGCGGTAGGCCGGAGTCAATGTACGCCAAGAGACTGCGAACTCCACCTTCGGTGATAACCGCTCTTTTGAGATCTTCATTACTCGAGGTTAGATTCTGCAAACATTTCGCCGCGTATTCCGATACCGATAATACCCCGGAATCGAGTAATCCGATCATGATGGTCACGATACCTTCTTCGGCTAGGGTTTGTCGGAGATCGGGAATCACAGATAAGTTCTTTAAAGTACAAGTCGCCGAAGATCGGGAAACGGAATCACTCGAGCTACATACTTCCGTTAAAGGTTGCACACCACCGTGGCCCGCTATTGCCCGCCCGATCTCCGGTGATACCGACAATCTTCGAAGGGCAATTGCGGATTTTTCCCTTCCGACTGAGCTTCCGGACTCAAGTAGCCTTATTAAAGGCGGCAAAACACCTTCGGATACAAGCAAATCGTCACAAATACCCGATTCTGTTAACGTACAAATCAAAGTAACAGTCGTTTCCCGAATTCTTGGAGACGTAGCTGTAAGGAGTTGTACCAAGGCCGAAATACTACTTCGTCCCAAGAAGGGCAAAACTGTCTTTTCATCTTCTTTCATCACGTCAACAAGACTATCGAGAGCTTTATGCTTAGCTTCCAGATGCCCAATTTGCAACCGAGCTAATAACTCTGTAACGCTATAGCTTCCATGACTTGTACCTTCAGGAGCAGACAAGGTACAACTCGACAATGCAACCTCGCTCAAAACCCCAGTTTTTATCAAAAGCCCGCAGTCTCGTAGGTTCAAGTCGATTTTACCAGATAACGCATCGAGATCGCTTTGCATTTGGAGTTTTCCTTCGTGTTTCTCTTTTGAACACTTTTCTGCCATTTTGATTGATTCGTTTAAAGTTTTTGAAACTGATTGAAGTTGTTCTTTGCATAATGTGTTCTTCAAGAAACATGGATGACTCGATAAATCTGATAATCGAGTCGGGATTTGTTCTAATTTTGATATGATCATTTTCCACCTTCCTGGAAATCCGTTAACTTTTCTGGCCTTTTCGAGAGCCACAGGTACAAGATCTTTGGTGTATGATAGCCACTCTTCGGTTGACCGAAAGTCAAGCACAGCTTTATCAACTTTATCGTGATCTTCTACCATGATTTCAATCGGTTTTGCAGAAATTAAATCTGTAGGAAAAACGAATGGGTTATTAAACATATTTTTCATGATTTTGGGATTAAATGATCTGGGGTCAATTTACAGAAGTCAAACCTGATGAAAAATTCAAGATCCTGGGGATAAAATGAACCAAGAACCAATCTCTTAAAAAGTCAAACCTGCAGAAATCATGAATAGCTAATTAACAGACATGGATTTTTTTGGAGAATTTTGAGATCATGAATAGCTAGGACACAAAGTGAAGTCAAACTTGAATATACAATAGTCAACTTGCAAAAAATATGAACAGATAATTAAGAAACATGAAATCTAAGAACAAACTGAAGAAGTCAAACAGGGAGATGCAGAAGTCAACTTGCAGAAATTATTAAAAGATAACTAACTAAGCATGAAATTTTTGAGTTATCGAAACTAAAATGATGTAGAAATCACTTTTAAAAGTCAAGCCAAATAAGAAACAATAATATTTCAAGATTTTGAGACTAAAATCATCTAAGAACCAATTTTAATAAGTCAAACTTAAACATCAAAAAGTCAAACACGCAGACATTTAGAATAGGATAACAAGATTCTGAATGCTAAAATGATCTAGGAAGCAATTTAGAGAAGACAAACCTGAAGAACATAGAGAAGTAAAACCCGAAGAACACATCAAATTTTCAGGATTTCAAGATAGTTATAGTAAAAACCAATTTAATTAGCCATCTATTGATCAAATAGGTCAATTATGAGATCATAGAGTTGGATCAAATAGGTCAATTATGAGATCATAGAGTTGGATCCAGATCAAGAATCGGATTCTTGGAGCTAGGAGAAACCATCATGTTCAAAAGGGACCCAAAAAAGTTCAAGATCATGACTTTTTTATGAAAAAGAAAATTGGGTAGCAGTTAGATGTGACTTGGATCATCAAACTTTACTTTATTAATTCATATTTTAAGAAGCAAAAAGGAATAAAGATTAAAGCTTTTAAGAATCTTGCATGATCATAAATAATGTAAGTATAATTTTTATTATTATAATTGCATCAATTTACAAAGTTGTAGTAGTAAAGATGATGAAAGTTAAAGGAAGAAATTTTCATTCGCAACATTAAAGCTTAGTTACTCAAAAATACATACATAAAGATTTTAGACATGTCAAAATGTTTTTTTTAAGTACAGGTAGGGTCGGGTTTAGGTTGAGCTGCAAACATTATTTTGTCCTATTCTTTGATTTTTTTATAACAAAGTAATGTGTTGCAACAATAATTAAAAGCCTTTGAATAAAACGATTTAGAAGGTTGTATGATAAATTTTTTATTTGACTATTTCAAAATAAAACATAACACGAAACAACCTATTCATAAGTAAACTGGCGGAAAATAACAATAGCCACCTCTAATTAAAGATCAAAACAACATTTTTTGAAAAATAAAAACAAAAACTTTATCTACGTTTCTTAACACATAAATAAATAAGACCTGTAAATGAACATGATAAACGTTCAAAACGAATAGTCATAATTTAATTTACAGAAAAGTGCTTAAAACCGTGTACCAAAAGAAATTGTTGCAATTTTTTTGTGGGCAAGTAGTACAAAACGTGAAGAGATGTCAAATTTTGCTTTAAAGAAAAGACAAAAAAAGGTCACTTTTACATTGATAAACATTTAAATTGTGTATTGAAGTTTTAGCATGGGATAAACCATCAAATTTCAAAAAACTATAAATCAAAAATTAAAAATGGACAATAATACAAAATTAAGATCATACCTCAAAGTGATTGGTTGTGCAATCCTCCAATAGCCCCTCCACAAATTTAATGGCAAACGACTTCTGAAATCAATAAAACAAGAAGCAAATCTATCAAAACAATGTATTATGAGGGTTTGGAGAAGTTTTTGTATTAGTGATTAACTTTTTGAATCATGCAAAAAAAAACACTATGCAACAATGTGCAACTTTTGGAAAAGTATGAATTATGACGCTTTTTTTTGCACGTTATTTTGTGTTTAGAATCACTCATTCATGTAAAGTATGTATAGTGATCATTCGCATTTGTATAACAATGAAGGTTAGTTTGCAATACAATTTTGTAAAGAAAAGATGCAAAAAAATGGAGCTTTTTGTGCATAATTTTACCAATTATCAAGTTTTAAAGACTTCGTTTCTTACTTTAAAAAGCACAAACTTTGACTAAATAATTAAATTTAAGGAATTTCTGACCCCACCAAAGATTAAGCTTCAAAACAGAGTTTTTCCCAATTACAAAAGTATGACCAAGGATTAAAGACTTCATTTGCTGGTTATAAGACGCATATCCACCAATGATTTGATCTTGAAACCCTAATTTCTGACTTTCAAAAGCACAAACTTGGACAAAACAATAAATTTAAAAAGAAATTTGAGAACTCAGCAAAGATTAAACTTCAAAACTCAATTTTCCCAATTCCTAAACTATGGTAATGATTAAAAACTTCATTTCTTGGAGATTTGACTCATAGCAACCAAAGATTTGATCTTAAAAAATCGTAATGTCTGAGTTTTAAAAGCAGAAACTAGAATTAAAGAATTAAATTAAGGGAAATTTGAGAAATATACACCAAGGAATAAGCTTCAAACTCAATTTCGTAATTCAAAAATTATAACCGATGATGAAAAAATTCATTTCTTGGAGATTTAACTTATGCCCACAAACGATTTGATCTTTAATCCCTAATTTCTCAATTTTGAAAGCGCAAAATACCATTAACAGCTGAATTTGCAGAAATTTGAGACATACCTATCAAAATTAAGCTTCAATAAACTGATCTTTAAGCCCTAATTTTCAAATCAAGGATTTTACACCCACCCACCAAAGATTTGATCTTTTAGACCCAAAATTCCGAATTTAAAACCAGAAGCAAGAAATGAAGAATCAAACATGAAGGAACTTGAGAAATACCCACCAAAGTATTAACCTTCAAAGCTCTGTTTCCCCAAATTTAAAAAGTGCAACAGGAATGAAAACAATTAGTTTCTTAAATATTTGACAAAGCCCCACAAAAATTCGGTTTTTAAAGAACATTGGTTTCAATATTCAATGACTCAATAATCAAATTTAATGAAATCCGACAAACACCCACCAAAAATGGATCGATAACCATAAAATTGCACCATAAATTGCTTGACTTTCTTCTTCCATTATTGAGCGACACATGAATGCATTATTAACAAGAAAATGGAAAAGAAACAAAATCAAAATCATTGAGAATCTTAAAACTGAGAAGTGAGATGCTAAACATAATTTGAATTTTTTTTAAAAGGTTTACCCGTGAGGAATGCGATTGAGCTTAACCGGATGCCGACAGAAGAGAATGAGAGTATTCAAAAATAAAATAAATATAATTTTTATTCAAATCGATCTCTGGAAGAAAGTATTATGTCAGACTGGCTGAGCTGTGGTGTTTCCAAGATTCACTTTATAGAGCTGGTGACTATATAACTATCCTGCCATCAAAACTGTAAAAAGTAAACTAAAATCGAAGAGCGTTTTTTTAAGAGCAAATTACAGAAGTGGTCCCTGTGGATTACCCATTCAGCGGATATAGTCCAAATATTGAAAAATTAATGTCAATCATCTCTATGGTTTCAAAATCGAACTTATTTGGTTTCTGCCCCAGTTACCGTCACTTGGACTCCATTAGAAAGCCCTCATGTGACATGTACACAAGGGAAAATCCGAATTTTCCACCTATCTCCTAACATCTTTACTTAAAACACAAAATTAAGAACTTGTCTTCCCTATTCCAACTCCCTTCTTCATATGTCACTTCTCTGCACAAATTAACAACACTCCATCAACCCATGTTCGAGGGAATGAACAACACAGACAAACCTCAACCAAGGCAGTCTATTCTAGAGGTGCCAAAGGTTTGGATCAGGATGTTGAGGGCCAAGATCAATCTTGAAGGCGAAATGGGTTATCTTTATCTTTTACTTGTTCATTGGTGTTTAGTGTTTAGGGATTATGTAGTTATGTTTTGGGTTTTATTCTAGGGTTATGATCATTTGTATTTATTTATAAATGTTTAAGGTTATGATAGGTTGTATTCAATGGTGTTTAGGGATTTGTAGTCGTCTTCAGTTGTTGGGGTGCCTCCTGATGCTCGAGCGCCTTCTGGCACATGCTAGAGTGCATTCTGATATCCCCAGCGCATTCTCCAAATGCTTTAATGGATTCATAACTTAGCATTTTTCCATCAGGGGATCACCTTCTTTGACTAAGAGCACCTTTGCTCTCCAAGAGCACATTTGATTAAGACTTCACACCCAACATCTATTACAATATTGGAATACTATTTACTAACACTAATTTCTTTCATCGGTAATTTCCACAATAATTCTCACCTTTAATATTTTCAATGGTACTTTTAACTTTCTACTAAAACTGAGAGAAACATATAAAACAAATATTTTAATGAGTCCGACTTGGTTGCTGAGTTGCCTCATCCACATTCTGGTTTTGGTTATCTTCTTCATCGCCAAGGTCAACATCATAATCATCTTTATACTCGTATTGTTGTGATTGCAACACCTATACTCTATCTAAAAACCATGATTCTCTAATTGAAATTGAGAAATCGAGATTATGAATATGTACTTCTGATTATGATAATGAATAGAGCTTGAGAATGGAGGGAAGCCTAATATAGGCTAGAAGAGTGTGTAATGTTCAATCGATTGTAGAGGGTCGTCAATTAATTTTCTTACCTTAAGTAGAATCGTGTCGTTACAACTTCCGGTACGATGTTCCCAATTGACTCCATAACACGTGTCGGATTCATCAAATCCGCGATCCAAACAGCAACAGGTACGATTCAATTGCATCGTGGGAACGTCAATTTCAGAATTGGAAACGCGATCCCGAGCGAAACCGGAATGCGAACGTACCGCGTTTTAGTACGAGTGAATTGGTACGAGATTCATGGCACTTCCAGCGAATTATGTAACTATGGACAAAAAATATACTTGATACGACATCAACATTCTCATGAACTTCACCAGTTGTCATTTGCAAAGCTCTTCCTTTTACATGCAGAGGATAGTTCTTTTTAACGCTTACTTCACCTTCATATTCACCTTTCTTCTTATTTGGACAACTATAGGTGATATGCACTTCACAACAAAAAGTAGCATTTTAGTGATGCATTATTTGGTGCGTTTGTACGATTATTGGAAAAGTTCCCTTTATCTCCACACTTATAATATGTAACTTCCTCTCGGGATTTAGAATTTCCATCCTAAATCTTACTTCTTTCATTTAACTTCATATTCTTACTGTCAAAGCCACACTTTCCTCAAACTTCACTCTTATTTTTGCGTTTATTGCCTTGACCCATATTTCTTTCCTTATCTCTTTCTTCCAATGACTTCTCGCTTTTTCTTGCCTTCCTTACTGTTGGATCAAGTGTGACAGGTTCTCCAAAATTCAGCTTATGGTTACAAGGCAAGTTGTCTGTAATATACTGATTCTTAACACCAAATTTTTCATTTTTAATAAAGGGAAATCATTAATAATATAAAATTTGAGTCGTAAAAATCCCAGGTGATGTTGGTGATTTTCTATCACTAATATTATTTAAGTGTAATGAGATTAATTTGTTGATCAATGTCACTTTGATAATTATCGAACAAATTAGTATGGTGCGGAGTGCACATTTGTTTGATTTTGTCATTGTTGAAAGTATACTGCTACTTGGGGGCGAATCCCCTGAACTGACGGGGGTCCGGGGGCAGCGCCCCTGGGAGCGGGGTCCAAGGGGCGGCAGCCCCTGGCGGGGTCCAAGGGGCAGAGCCCCTGGCTGGGGTCGATTTATGTTGGTTTATGACAGGTAATATGACCGTTTTTTGGATAGGAAGTTGTTTTCCTGTAACTACCATATGACAGTTTTAAGACAGGAAGTTAGTTTATGTTATATGATCATTTTTCGGATTCATTTTGGGTACAGATTTCATAACATATTCTTTATTCTCCCTTCTACAAAACCAGTGAGTTTCATCCGATTAGACATTTTGAGTGTACCCTCGAAATGCTTTAATCTGAAAGTGTTTCACAACTCTCACTGATCCAAGTATATCTATATCCCGATTTTCTAACAGGTGAATCAAATACAGTCATCCCAAATCAGAGAATCAAAATGCGGAAAATCATAAAATCTGCAATCCGGAGTGTACAGTCAAGCCTTCGCCTTCCCACGATCATCTGAAGTACCTAAAACATATTTAATCCACAACTGTAAGAACAAAGCTTAGTGAGCTCCCAAAATATTACATACAGCTCAGCAAATAAACAATTATGGGTTATCAGCAACCCTGTGGGTTAACAGCACATTTCAGGGGTTGTCAACAACCCTGAGGACTATCAGAAATCACATGGACTCACAGTTATCCAAAAGATAACATAGTTTCACAACTCACATCACTCAACAAGTAAGACCCATCCGGTCAGCATGCATACACTATGACACAGGTAATATAGTGAGAAGACTCACATCGCGAATAACATCTAGAACTATAGTTGCTCCCACACACGGTAGGCAGGAGCAACAAGACACCTAACAGCAGCAAGCACATACCCTTTCAGCCTACATCCTTAAAACCCTAGCTTGACCCAAAATTCAACCATGGTCAACTTCAGCCAACGGTTACATCGTGACCACCCACAAGTCACGTCGTGACCGGATACAGACAAAACAATCGCGACTTTTCCATTCTTACGACGTGACATCTTAATACCTTAAGTCACTCCTTGAGACTTTCCAAAGGGTCTTCCTCAACCCTAAGGATCATAAAAATCATGGCTTTTCAGTCATGCATGTCCAATGCATCACTTGGATAACTAATTAGGTCAATAAGAAAAAAATAGGATTAAGACTCATGCTTGGAGTCTAAAACCAGTACCAAACTTCAGATCTGAACATATACTAAAAGAAAATGCCTCAATAGTCAATAAATTTATTAACTTTATGGATCCCATGCATGCTGCCCAACCCATCCATAAAAAGGAAAACATGAATCTTAGATCTAGCATGCACAAGAAATAAAGGCAAGAGATTTAGGACTTACAAAGGTCCAAAAGCACTGCAAGATGATGAAGAAGGAGTTTGATTGCCAAAACGATGCAGCCAAAAAGTTTTATTTCTTCTTCAAAGATTCAAAAACACCAAATAAGCTCTTCAAGGTCACCAATGGAGGCTAAAAATGATTTGGGCGAGAAGGAGGTAATGGAGGCTGAGGGTATGCAAACCCTAGCCTCCCACTTCTCTTAAATGGGGAGCAAAACACAGTATTAGGGTTAGCCTGATCTCACGACGTGAACACCTATGTATCACGTTGTGAGCCTCAAAAATGATCATGTGTTCTGGTCGAATGTCACGTCGTGAGACCTTATATCTTACGTTGTGACCCTCTTTAAGTTGGGGTTTTTTCATTCTTATTTAATTCAAAACAATGAAAGATCGAGTACCTGCATTAGATATTATACTACCAACAAATTGACTAACTTATATAGATTCATCAAGTGCAAATCTTTTTGCAAATCCAATTTTATCAGCCAAGAAAATGATGCTGATTCCTAACATCGAAATAATCAATAGCCTTGCGACATGAATGATGATGGTTGTTTTCCATCCTAATTTATATTTGTTTACATATCCGGTTGTCATCTGTCTAGGAACCAACATCATTTCCCCAATGACTATGCCTTGATTGTCAATCAAGAATGATAAGTGAGTGTCATCTCTATACATAATAGATTTCGGAAGTGGAACCATTATGATGTTTAGTACTAGAAGAGTAGCGATCGTTAGAGGTTGAAGGATGTAACACCTCAAATTTACACCAACTTTTTTCATTTTTAAGAATTCCAAAAACATAGTTCACAACCCAATCATCAAGTACAGGTCAATCCCAAACCACAAGTATCATAGTTATCAGAGTACATAAAAGATCATATCCCAATAATAAAATCCCCGTGCGTGTGTACAATCAGACCTTCGCCTTCCTGCAGTCCTACGAAGTACCTGTCAAATATAAATCAACAACTGTAAGCACAAAGCTTAATGAGTTCCCCAAAATACCACATATAACTCAGCATAAATAAACAGCTATGGGTTATCTGCAATCCTGGAACTATCAGCAGTCCCATTGAGCTAACAGTATGCTCGGGAGGTTATCTGCAACCCCCGGTTGGCTAACAGCAACTCCAGCTAAAAAATTATCACATCAGTACATAACATAGTATACACAACATAATATAACAGCAAGACTCAGCTCGTCATAATAATACAACTATCCTAGCACACAGGTAAGAGTGAGTGATGAGACTCACCTGATACTGATGACACGAAAACCTAGCACCCGAACTGCCAGATCTAGACTCCGCCTATTCAACCAAATAAATTATCCTTAATTAATAATTAAGGCCCAAAACCATATCATGAGTCCAAGTCCACAACTAATCCCACTAAGGTCAAAAAGGATCATATTGCCCCTGCCTAGGTCGACACCCTAAATTTTGACCTAAAAGTCAAAATCAGCAAGGTCAAAAAAAAGTCAACCGAAGTTAACACCCAACGAGTACGATGGGCGTACAACTCCCTATGTTGGACGTACTGCTGAGCATGCATGCGACGGGGATCTTCAACTCCACGTTGCGTGTAGATGGGAGGACGCACAGCGTACTCCTCAGACTTCCATTTTTCACTTCTTTTGGTATTAATCCGTTAAGACAAGTACTCTAACTACAGATCTGAGCTAAACAAGGTCTCTTATTCCATAAAGTTGTGGGATTTAAGCCTTTGCATGGCTATGGGAAGCTAGAACATCATTTCACCATTTTTAAACTACTTAACTCAAGCATAGGACACAAAGGAAGATCAAACAAGCATTTTTATCCAATAAGATGCATGAAAGGACAGCCTAAACTCTCTAGAGAGTCACAAACTCAAAAAGGTCCAAACTTGAGGACATAAACTCATAAATCTTGCACCAAAAGAGATCTAAGAGAATACTAGCCAAGGTACAAGCTTTATACCTAGAAATGATGCTCAAAGATGAATGGTTTCTGCATCTCTAAGCTAGATGGCACCTTCTTATTTTTCTTCTAACTTCACCCTTTCACTACAAGGGTCAAGAGTCTCTTTAAGCTTGCAAAAACACACCTACAAGCACACCCTCAAGATTTAGGGTTTAGGGAAGGTTGGAGGCTGGTAAAGGTGGCTAGAAATGAGGCCATCATATTCCTTAAATAGGGACACAAGAAGGATTAAGGTTTGCTTACTGAGCCTAGTACGCCTAGCGTACTAGGTAGCCTCCGCAATCAAGTTGGTGCATGAGTACGCTGCACGTACTCATGCGTGCACCCCGCGTACTTACTTACCATCATTTACAATATAAGGACTAGTTTTGACATAAAGAAGAAAGTTTAAGGAAATATAATTATACCTCGATTTGGGATGTTACAATTCTCCCCCACTAGAATCAGACTTCGCCCTCGAAGTCGTTCTCCAGAAACAAATCAGGATACTGCTCACGCATCTCGGACTCTGGTTCCCACGTCCACTCCGAACCTCTACGATGTTGCCACCGAACCTTGACGAAGTTCACTACCTTGTTCCTCAAGGTTTTCACTTTACGATCCAATATGGCTACAGGTTTCTCCCCATAATTCACGCGATCATCGACTTGAATGTCCTCTAAGGGAACCACAGCTGTCTCATCGGCTACACACTTCCTTAGCTGGGATACATGGAAAGTATCATGGATCTGACTCAACTCCTCTGGTAGCTCAAACCGGTAAGCCACCTTGCCCATACGGGCCAATACTC